ATTGGTGACTTAGAAACGACGCAGTCAAGTATTGAAGGGTTCAAAGGAAACATGCAAGAGGAGGAGAGTTTAGTGTCGGAGGTCGTGGATGAGTCTCCTCCGTCTCCGTTCAACGGAGCGCTAACAGAGCTCAGAAAATGAAGTTAAAAGTTAGTTTTTCTGTTGCTGTTGTTCAATAACAGTTTTAAGATAATTTGAGGGAGAACATTATACTTTAAGCTTCACTATATGGCCCATTTACTGATTTAATGCATAATTTAAAATTTTTTTCCAGAGTTGAGAGGACCGCGGCAACCATTGCTGCTCCGTCTGCAGCAGCCAGGGCTAACCTTAGCCCGTCTGCAGCGACCAGGGCTAACATTAGCCCGTCTGCAGCGGCCAGGGCTAACGTTAGCCCGTCTGCAGCGGCCAGGGCTAACGTTAGCCCGTCTGCAGCGGCCAGGGCTAACGTTAGCCCGTCTTCAGCAGCCCTCTCTCTGCATAGCCGTGTGTGACGTACCGCTGGCTCTGATGGAGGTTTGATTGTTTTATTTGGCAAAATGTTCGTTTGATTTGTGTTTATCTGACTGTGTTCATTATTATTCCTCCACTATATGAAAAAAGTCAGAATTTATTATTATAGAGAGATTATTAATAACAGGAGGTGATATGCGGCTCCAGACATGCTTCTGTTCCAATGGAGCCAGATTTATGCTGCGTGCTCCCGTTTCTCCCCGAGTCCAGACTTTCCTGGGTTCTAGTCAAGAACAGACTTGCTGAGGACACGAGTAACTAAATTGTTAACGGCCAACAATTCACTCTCCAACTACACACCTGTAACAGTCACCACTACTCTGCGAAGATTCTTATTTGAACTGAAAAAATATGATTGACAGATGAGCGTTGATATATGATTGGCCGAATTTAGGTTTTCAGGCTGACGTAGAACTAACTGGCCTGCAGAAGATAACAGAAAGAAAACACAGATTTAGGACAGGATTTATTTTAAATAGAAATTTTCTACATTTTGGGACAATATGGTCTGATAAAGAGAACATTTTTATCAGGGTTTATACAGGAACGAATTCCTTGTTTTCCAACTACTTCTGTTGAAATTTGCTTTTTCCACGCAAATATATCTTGATATAATATGTCTGACAAAATTGTTTTTATAAATTTTTTTTTTAATAAAGCATTTTAAATGCCACAATAAACACATTTAATGAATTTTAATGCCAATTAAGGCCTTAATTTAAAAGATAATAATTTAATGACTTTTAATTATTTTTAAAGCCAGAATGTTTTGACATTTAAATAATATTTCCCTACGACTTTAAAGCCTCGCCTGCCGTCTACAAAGGATTGAGTTCGTTGCAGAGTGGAGTTAGTGGTTTATTCCCAGCATCCAGCCATCTATGAGCCCTCAGCGTTTAGCTTCATGTGTGACACGAGCTGTTATCTGTGAAAGCCCGGCTGGGATCGGTGAAAATGCTAAACTGAAAGGTGTTAAGGTGGAAGGACAAGATCTTAGAGGTGGTCAAGAGGAAGTGACAGGAAGCTAAGGGAAGCTACTAAACTTCAACGTTCTTGGAAACGGGCAAACATAAAGTCTCCTCTGGACTAATCACATGATCCAATTACTAAAACACCTTTCTACCAGATTGCTGAGGGGTTTTGGGGGGCTGCATAAGAACAGAGACCATCCCATAATAGCCCCAAAGGTCAAAGAAAGTGTTTCTAAAAGGTCAGTCTGCAGTGGTGAAGGCTGAATGTTTTCAAATCAATACGAGTGATGGAGGTGAAAATAGAAAGAAAAAGTAAGAGAAGAAGTTAAGCCTCTGGAAAAGCAGCAACAGGTGGGGAGGGGGGTTAAACAGTGGGGATGATGTGAAGCTGATAAAAGGCTGGAATGAGGAGGAGCTGCAGCTCCTCACAGTCTAAGAACGACACGGCATCAGAGATCGAGAAGAAATGCTTACATCTGTGAAGGTTTCTGCCGTTCTGAAAGAGAAAACAGAGAACGAGTCACAGTCGGTCCGTTTAAACACCAACCAGCATCTACTGGGACGTTAGAAGAACTGGTTACTGGGAAGCAGCAGAAAACAGGGAGCAGCGGCTGCTTTACCTCATCTTCCTGTTCCTGGTCGGAATCTGAGTCCTTATGGGAGCAAAAAGCAGCAGGAAGCAGAAGGAGCACAGATAGAGACACAGTAAAGACAGGAGGCAACGCAGATGAAGCTCACTTTGTTTAAAACTATTTGGTCATTCTAAGTGTGAATTTGAAGTAGTAGAGAGAGTTCCATCCTAAGTTTTGTATTTGTAGAATAAAAAAATAAAATTAACAAAAAAATTGCACAAATTCTATTCTCCAGGTTGCACATCAAAGTTGCTCCAAATGGTCCAGAACTATTGTTGCAAAACTATTGTTCATTGTAACTTTGGTGTTTTGTAACTGTAGAATTTTTTTAATTCGTCACAATTACAAAAAAAAAAGTTACTCGTCTTCAAATTCTTAAGGAACAAGTTCGCAGATTGTTTTCTGAGAATCGCACATCAGAAAATGTCTTCAGTTCAGTTTGGCTACAGACATCTGTGTCAAAGTGAAAATAAAGGTGTAACTGGTAAAGTTGAATTTGTGACTCACAGCAGCAGATTCATGGAGTTGTTTTCTTTCATTTGTATTTGTGTTAAGGAAAAAAATGCATTTTTTTTAAAAAGATTTTAATACACGTTTGAATTTGTTTTGCACCATTTATTTTTGATCAACTGTAGCCAAACTGAAAATTTTTTTGATGTGCAACTCTCAGAACACAATCTGTGAACTCGTACTGAAGAATTTAAAGACATGTAACTTTTTTTTTTGTAATTGTGACACATAAAAGAAAAATCTACAATTACAAAACACCAGCGTTACAACGCACAATAGTTCTGAACCATTTGGAGAAAAACTGAGAATGTAAAAAGTTTTTGATGTGCAACTTGGAGAACAGAATTAGTGTGCTGGTACTAAAAAATATAGTACTTACAATTTTTTTTTCTACAAATACAAAACTTACAAATGTAACTTCCTCTACAACTTCCAATTCACACTTAAAATGCACAAATAGTTCTGAAACAAAATAACCTTCATACTATCAGGTCTGGTCCGGAGTCCAGAACCACCAACAGCAACATGATGTTGTTCACATCTATTTTACTGCTTTATTTCTGTTCATCAGTAAAACACAGAAAACCGTTTTCAGATCATGTTTGGATTCATTAAGGGGAAAAAAGGTTTATTTATTCAGAGAGGGGACATGATGTTCTGATCCAAAACGCAGTAATGATTGTGGGACCTGAAGCAGCTCCCGATCATGGCTACACCACCGCCGTTTAATGGGGGGGGGGGGGGGGGACCTGAGAGGATGGAGAGAAACTGAACCAAAGAAATCTGATAATTGGGGATTTAATTAAAACATCCTGACTTTGGATCTACTGCCACCTTCAACTATAACCGTCTCCATGTCTGTCGTTGATGCAGTGGCACCACATGGACCCTACCACTAGGGGGCGTGCACACTCTCACAATGGGCCTGGTTGCCTTTTTCCCCTTAAGAAATGAATGATGTGAAAACTGCTTTCTCTGTCTGCTATATTAAATGTGAGTTAAAGTCTTCATGCATCGGTAGACTATTATTTAGAAGCCTGATTTAGACCCAGGGAGGCCGTTCTTACTTTGCTGTACGATGGAAGCGTGATGTTCAGGTTGCATATGGCGTTATGCTGAAGTGACCTGTAGTTCCTGGGCTCCTTCATGAACGACAGTCGGCCACACGGCTCCTGGGTGTTGTCTCGGATCTACGGAAGCGGCCGGATCAGAAAGCGAGATGAGGCTCGGCGGGGTGGAACCATGAAGCTCCTGTGACAGCCAAAGAAAGGGGGAACGGCCCTTACCTTGATAAAGAGCGCCAGCCGGTTCTCTTTAAAGGCGTAAAAGCTGAACAGGTGGTGTTGGCCGCTCTTGGTGAGTGGAACAAGGTTTCCAAAGCAGTCTGCATAGATCGGTTTCCCTTCCAGAACCTGAACACATCAGCAGGAACATGTAAATACCTCGATTCAGGACAGAACAGGCCAAGCTATAAAGATGCCTTCGTTCACCGATCTACTCCCCAACGCCACTGATGGCGGTCCCAGTGGATCTATCCCAAAGTGCCACTGATGGTGTTCCCTGTGGATCTAATCCTAAAGTGCCACTGATGGCGTCCCCGTGGATCTACTCCCAAAGCGCCACTGATGGCGTTCCCTGTGAATCTACTCCTAAAGCGTCACTGATGGCGTTCCCTGTGAATCTACTCCTAAAGCGTCACTGATGGCGTTCCCTGTGAATCTCCTCCTAAAGCGT